GAAAAGATGAGCGTGAGATCAGAATACCACAATTTCTTTTGCAAGTACAGAAAAGAGGAAGAACTGAAGTTTCTCACCATTCTGCCTCTTCTTCTCCTCCTCAAGACTCTTTATGATGTTAAGGAGCTCTTCATTTCTCTTTTCAAGCATGCTTCTGTCTCTGTTCAAAGCAACGATTCTTTCTTGTAGTTCGCTACAAGAATTTTGGTCAAAATTTCCTGGTTTTAACTGGTTGTTGCCACATAACTTTTTTGTGTGGGGTGAGTCATTCCCCTCGACTAAAACAAAGAAAGACAAGCACTGAACAAATGAAGGCAGTTTGTGGATATTTTTTCTTTCTTTTGAATTTCATAGATAAGGAATGATGCTCACATGTGAGGCGTAAAGCAAGATTGAGAGTGGCTTGTATGACACACAGCACACCAAAGCTGAGGAAAAGCAGCTGAAGGAGTCGTCTCTCTGAAAAATCGAAATCATTTTTAGTATGTTGTAATATGTGAAGCCTATTCTGTTAAAACATATGCCATTCACTGCATTCATATCTATCTATCTATCTATCTATCTATCTATCTATCTATCTATCATCTATCTATCTATCTATCTATCTATCTATCTATCTATCTATCTATCTATCTATCTATCTATCTATCTATCTATCTATATATGTCATTACTGTCATTACCTTTATTATTGTCCATCCCGCATTTCCCATTGCATCTTTGCAGCTCATTTCTAGTCTCCATTTTCTCCATTGCCTGCAACACTCTGAAGGCATCAACAGGAAAAAAACTTCAGTGCTGTCTGATCATTGAACTGTTTGTCCTCTTTTGGTGTATTTCTTCAGCAATGACGGGTGAGGAAATATACTCACCCGTACATACCCATGCATTGTGGTTAACAGATTTGGAAATGGTAAAAATAGGGGAAGCAAACTGAAAGTCTAACGAATGATGAATCTAAGCCTTAAAGTATGTTGTCATGCTCAAGGGCACTTCAAATTGGGGAACAAAACTTTAACCCACCTGACGTATACATATCCTTTTCCACATAATGTCATATCTGCCATTAGGTCAATTTTTTTCACAATCACTGCTGACACTAAATTCTCTTCATCACGTCATCTTTGGCTGACAACTGAACATTGTTTGAATGACTGGGAAAAGATAAATGGTTTTTCAACATATCTTACAAAAAACATGTTTAATATATGTGTCATGGTCCTGAGTCTGTGACCCAGCATTTGTGTTTGGACTTTTGGTTTATTTAATATTCTGAGGTTGAGATTCTGTTCCTTATGTTGGTTACTATAATTAACCCTCTGTTTAATATTTGTATTCTTAGGCCGCATTAGTTTTCCTATCTATTCTTTAGGTTCCCCCCCTGCTCCACGCCCCATGTGTAGTCATGTCTGGTTGTTTACATTTACAGTGTGTCCCTCGCTCTCTCTTTGGTTTGTAAGTCACATCTCAGTGCTTGTTCCCCTGTCTCATTAGTTATTGTCCAGCCATGTTCCTCAGGTGTTTCCTCTCTGCTCTGATTCACTCATGTCTTTATATTGTGTGCATTTTCTTGTGTTCGTTGTCATGATCTCCCTCATCCCCCGCAGCTGTGTATTTGACTCATTAGTGTTCACTTGTTTAGTTCCTAGTGTTTCAGAGGTTTCCTGTTTGGGGCAATCGTAGGCTCAGTTCCCTAGTTTTCCTGTTTCCTCAGCCAAAGAGAAACAAGGCTTCCACCACTGCCGCTCTTCTCGTGCAGACCAACAACCTGCAACAAGAGTGTGTCTGCATCACTTTCCCCTCAAAAACTGCCAGGTACCACCACCTGAATAATCTAAGACTGTTTGTGTTTCTCATCCTTCATCCCTAAGTCTATTGCTTCACCTGTTCCTGCTCCCATGGTGGCTTGAACCCAGCCTTCCCCTGCACCTGTACCTGTTGCTCGGGTGAGGGTGGCTGGGACCCAGCCTGTCCTTGTCCATGATCCCAGAGTGGTTTAGACCCAGCCTTGCCCTGCGCCCACTCCAGTTCCCCAGGTGAAGGTGGCTGGGGCCCAGCCAGTCCCTGTTCCAGTACCCAGAAAAGCTACAACTCAGCTTGTCCCTGCACCCGTACCAGTTCCTCGGGTGCAGGAAAAGCTAGTGTTCATCCATCAAATGCTCCTGTGCCTACTTCCAGCCGAGGCCCAGTCAACCTCAGCACCCGTACCAGTTCCTCAGACGGGGGTCACTGGCCTCCAGCAGGTTTCTACACCCATACCAGCTCCTAGGATGAGGCCAGCCGAGGTCCAGTCCACTCCTGTACCCGTACCTGTTCTTGGGTGGGAGAGGCCTGTGTCCGGCAAGTTCCTCCTCCTTTCCCTGTTCCTAGGGTGACAGTGGCAGGACCCAGACTGTCCCTGCACCCATACCTGTTCCTCAGGTGGGGAAGGTAGACTTCAGTTCTGTGTTCTGTGGTGCCTACGTTTTCAACTTATTTACTCGCGTAAAACTGAAAAAGTACAGGCTCTGAAATGTACTCAAAGCAAGAAAGGAAAAAATAACTCTTTGTAAGAAGCTTTGTGCAAAGCTAACCAACCCTTGTGCTATATTAATCTAATCTAAAAAAAAAGAAAAAAAAAGAGTATTAATAAATTAAAATACAACCTTTACATCAGTTTTAATTTGAATCCCAATTCAATCAGCTTGAATCAATTAAGTAGAAAATGAGCAAAAGAAGGAAAATTAAAAAATAGCTATATTTTCTGTTGGGTGAGTTTGACTGGCACTACTGTTTATGGTGTCATTATACTAAACAGTATGAAGGTGAATTAATCTTAGCATTATTTTAACGTCAAATTCATCTCTGCTATACTTAATGTAACCTAACTCTGACCATGAGCACACCATCCACTGTGCACCACTCAAACACAATGCTTTATTTTAAATTCATCATAATAATGCAAGCTAACTAGATTATCCTGAACTATGGTGCATTTTCATGAAACCTTTAAATGACACATTAGCCTACCTCAGTTGGTTTCACAGCAGCTTTATGAGCACTTAGATGTAAGATTTAAATTTCCAGTTTATTTCATTTCATTTAATTTCTTTATTTATTTCACACATGATTCAACAGATCCTCCTTCCCATTAATATAACACTGCACCCATGGGTGAAAAGGAGCAGGAAGAAGAATAAATTCTTGTTAGCACCTGCAATCCAATTATTCTTACAAGAGGACGCCAGTAACCCCCCAAAATCCCTCTAACGCGTATCTTTATGTAACAATGCAAAACTAAACAACAAATCTGTATAATCAGCAATATACAGCACTAAATGGCAATGAAAATTTTTCCTTCCACATTTAGCCCAAATTACTTTCATGTTCTTCACATTGATTTATCCTTTTAAGTATATAACACATTTTAAAACGGTGCATGTTTGTACAGCTCTTGAGATAATCTTGAAGAGAATTCCATATTCTTATACCCTTAACTGTAGGACACATTTGTCTTTGTGTGGTCCTAGCAAACTGATACTTAAAGTCAAACTTCCTTCTACTGTCCCCACTTCCTGAACACAATACAAACGCATACCACATAGCAGAGGTTAAATGTAATCTCTTCCTCCTCTCCTACACTGTCTTTATCTTTCTCCATCACTGAGTGAAGTTAACTTTTATTTCTCTCCCTGTGAAATACAGCACCTGTACTTTTAGCAAGCAACACACTGTGTAACAAACTGTAAACAGAAACTGTGTTCACCAATGTTTGTTGATCGGATAGAAATGTTGCATTTGAAATTGCTTTTCTCGCTCCTCTTCTGTAGTGCTAGATAGTTGATGAAGTACGCAACTATAACTTACAGACATGTGCACTCGTTCCAGTCTACTTTGACTCTGACTATGGTAAATGGGTTTGGCTCCTCCTTCTCTTTTATGCTACATACCAGACTGTTTTGAAAATGTAGGCAGTAAAAAGTTCTCATATTTCTTTAACAATGTATGGAATAAAAGTAAAAAGTTGAAGAGAATACTAAAAATTCTACTTAAGTACAGTATTAAAAGTATTTGTACTTCATTACTTCCCTCCTTTGCTGCAAATAAACCCCATAATTCAGAAATTATTGGTAATGCTTGGGAAAATAATTACTGGAAATCTTAATTAAAATGTTCAGGCACCTCTGATGGAGAGTTGTACTTCAAACTAATTTTTAATTTAAGCTTGTTAAGAAATATATATATTAAGAATAAACTCTGAAGAATAAACTGAGGAGCCGAACATTTAGAATGACAAATTAACTGATGACAAAACTTACAAAACCTAACATAATGCTCTGGAGGTTTCTTACACTATGAATGTGTTATGATTCATTGGGGTTTTTTAAAATTTGCATTCTGTAACAGCATACCAATTTTGTGCTTTTGGTGAAGTGAAGTATTAACCAGTTTGTAGCGGCGCTTGCTGTGTGGATAACAGTGTCTAGAGTAACTTTTAAGGTTAAAGTTTATAATGAACCAAATAAAGGTCTCCATTATAAAAATTCAGGCAAATTATAAGATATATCTTTGTTTCTTCTGTTCACATAACTGTTTTAAAATAAATGTATTTATAATCAAACTAACCAGACAGGCAGTAACACAGCCTTAAGAGACAAACATGAAAAAACAAATATTTTTCTTTTGAGTAAGTACAACAGATAAAGAAATAATGTTCTGATAATAGAATGTGTGACAGAAGTAAAGGGTGTGGATGGTAAAGTGTCATTTTGATAAAGTACTGATTTTAAAAAAACAAACAATAAAAATGAAAAAACAAAAAGACAGGACATCTGCTGCTTGCTAGACACTTTTATATGCGTCTCTTCCTTCCTGTCCAAATGAGGTTAAAAGTGTGATGACATTTCTTGAAAAAAAAAAAAAAAGACAAATGAGGAAGAAAGTATTTTCCTGTGTAAGCAACTTGAAAAACAATGCACAGTGACTAACTGTTGTGCAAGGTCACATCAATTTCTGTTAAACATGAAAGGCCATAGAGATGAATCTGGTATGGTTCTGGATATTAGAACCCTCAGCTCTCCAGCCAGGAGTGTTGGCTTGAACCGGTTCACTGATGAAAGCGTTGAAGCTGCTGCATCTGTGTCAGGTAAGACACAAATGAAATTTTAGTGGTTTTTTTTACACTTTTTAGTGTGTGT